CAAAGAATATGACATATTTGGCATACATCTTTTTAGGTCTTCATATTAACTACCTAAAATGTATTCACTGAAGTAGGGTTACGGGGTCAAAGGATAAGAACACTTTTAAACCTCTTGGCTCATATTGTCAAATCACCTCCCCAAGTTGTAAAAATTTATATCCCTATTAGCAAAATATAAGAAATTCTACTCTACTGCACATCTGCTAACATGTAGCATTATATCTTTTAAATATTAAATAATTTTGTAAGTAACCCTCAAAGCCTTTTAAAAATTTCAGTTGGCATTCAGGAAATACCTGGATTTCTAAGACATCTTACACAAAAAAAACTAATAGGCTGTTAAACAATTTAGAAAAGTTTTGATTAAATATCCAATGAAAAATTAAACATTCTAAAAACTATAAAGTCTAAGAAAAGCAAAAATCTAAATTAAAACTATGAGCACACACAATCTCTAATATGTGTTACTTAGGCATAATGGGAAATGGAATCGAATTAAGGATGGCCCAGTCAGATAGTCAAAGCCATTAACTGGACATTTTAAAATAAAAATTGAACTATATTGTAAGTTCCACTTCTTAACTTTCAATCCTCTATAATTATGATTTAAGTATGTCTCTCATAAACACTATAAAACTGGATTTTTTTCCTCATAATTTTGTATTTCCTTTAACAGGTAAATTTAGTTCATTTACATTATTATCCTTGATATATGATGATCCCTGATGTATACCATCTTATTTACTATTTTTCATTTACCATATTTTTCTTCTTTCTTTATTGTTCCTGACCTGCCCTTTAACTCTTATTTTGAATTTATGCGTTCAACTTTTATGTGTAGTCAGTCTTAACATTTTAACTGGAACACTTGAATCAGTAAAGTCTAGTACAAATCGTATTACTGTTCTTTTCATGAACAATACATGGAAATTAGGAAAATTTCACTCAGATCACACCTTCCCATATTCTGTTACTGTTGTTCATAATTTAATTTCATCTTATTTTCAACTGCCTTTTAAATGGTTTCTCTTTTTTCAAAAGAATCAATTTTTATAGTTTTGGTAGTATATTAGTGAGAGTTAATGAGTAGTAGGTCCCCTCTTTCTTGATTGTTTCAAATTTTAAATTTTGCTCTCTTTAGTAATAAATTTTTGATTTTATAGAATCACTCCCTTTATCTGTTTTCCTGTATTCTGAGAAGTTTCATGAGTTCTGCATTCTATTTTACTAATTTTCTCTTTAACTTTTTCTAAAGCTCTCTATGATCTGATCTGATTTTTAGTCTTCCACCGAGTTTTAGTTTTCGATTATCATGTTTATAATTCTAGACATTTCATTTGATTTTTCCCCAAATCTATCTGCTCTTTTTACAGCATTCTATTCTTTCATTTATGCTTATATTCCTTTTACACATACTGTTTGTCTTTTTATTTTGATTGATTTTATAGTCTCATTCAGATTGCTCTATGAGTCTCTGTTATGAGAGTGCTAACTCACTATTATTATGTTGCTGGCTCTCCCTTACAGCAGACTGTGTTCCCCTGGGTGATATGAAACTGTATTAGAAGCTCATTTTCAGGAGTAGGCTATTTTTATCATAGACCAATACACTTGGGTTGTGGAAAGCACTCTAGAGAATGGCTTGCTGTTTGTTTCTGGTGATACCCCAGAAGTTTTACCAATTATGTAAATTACACATCTTTCGGGGGTTTTTTTTGCTCCCTGTACTGTATTTTAGACTCCATACCAGAGCTGGGTTTAGGATTGTGGTTTTATTATAGGTTTTATTTAAGGGAAGGCTTCACTTTTCTTTCTTCTACCATGAATTTTCCTGTGGCTTCCCTAGCTTGGTTGATGAAATTTTTCTAGTTATTTTTCATGGTGGGGTAGGCATTTATGAGACCCAGCTTTACTCAGGGCTCTTGCTTCCAGCTCTCAGCGTCAGGCTTTTGCAAATCCAGGGCTTCTGCCTCTGTGCCAAAGCTGAAACTCTAACTCCCAACCCCTACAGCCATGTGTAGTGAGGATATATCTTATATCCCACAGCAAGGTCCAATGCCCCTCTTGGTTATTCTGCTGTCCACTCAGACAGTTATCGTTCTAGATTTAAGTTCCTACCTCATTTCTGGCACTTGAGGATTTCCCTCTTTCTCTTGAACTTGATTTATCCTCTCTCTCTCTCTCTCTCTCTCTCTCTCTCTCTCTCTCTCTCTCTCTCTCTCTCTCTCTCTCATACACACTCCATATGTGTGTATGTTTTTTACATTTTAATATTTTATCCAATATGTCTACATATCTTAAGTCAAAGGAGTTTATAATTTTGTAATGATGGAGATGGTTAAGGAAGAAATGTGTCTGAATATGGTTGTTTTGAACAAGTTAGTGAATAAGCATTGATAGTCCTATTTTCTATATATTTCAATTGTATTGCTTTTAAGTACCAACGTGGCTTTTAAAATATACTGCACTACATTATCAGGTAACTTGGAATTCTACTGACATCGTTATGACCTCTGAATTTCTCCTCCCTCGCAGCATGTCTATATTTACATCAGGATCATTTGTAGATAATTTCAAATGGATGCAGAGGTTGTGTTGCATACCTGTAGGCTAGCTTTATTTTGAGATAATATTGCAATATTGATGAAGAACTATTTATTAATGCATTGAAGACACAATTCTCCTCAAGTAAATACATGTTAAATGACAATTCTTAACCATCAATTGCAACTTTCTGGCTGTCTTTTCTATTTCCATTCTTTTTCTTAATACAGACCTGTCCCTCTTGAAAGCTTGGTACTTTCACTACTAAAAAATCTTTTTTTGTTTTCCAAAATAAAGGTCAAGAGCAATATTATTTTTTGGCAAGACTCTGGCAACCATGTTATACCAAAAACACCCTGCTTACTAGGAAAACAGTTACTATGGCTTTCACTATATAATACTACAGTTAAACAGTACAGAAATATCTCTGTGTTTTTTATCACCGAGGAAATCAATAGTAGTACAGTCTACAATTCTCAGTTGCACTAGAGTAGATTTAGGAGGGCAGATGAAGGAATTTATTGACTTAGCAGGGGCTGTTACTATAGCAAATCAGAATTGTAAAAGAGAATAGCTTTTTAACTGACTGATTTTAATCCAAACATCCAAATGTTTCAGCCTAACAAGGACTTGGTAAAAAAAATAAACAAATAAAAACAAACAACAAACAACCCCTCCTGTAGCCTCATTCCCTTTTTTTATGTACACAAATGCTTCATGCCATCATTATTGGCAAATATGCAACCATAAGAAAGGATTCTATTAATGCTGTCAGAAATAAGCTAGACGCTAAGGGAATGCTGTCATGAAAGTCTTAACTTGAATATTTTATGTTTGTATTTGATAAATGTCATAATTTAAAATGTGTCATTTGTGTAACTAATTAAAGGCCTAGTGTTCCATCTTGCAGCATTGCAGTATTTGTTAAATAGGTTACTTTGGGAATTTTTAAATATGCACAATAGAAGCAGTAAGCATTAAATCACCCAAAGTTGATATATAATATTGAGAGAGGGGAGAAGGGAGTGAGGGAGTTGGGGGGTAGTGGAGTGGGCGAAGAAGGGTACTTCAAATAGTGCTATTTTTTGATCACTTGAATCAATTTGTCAAACACTAAAGGAAGAATGCTAAGTTATAAAAATGTTAAAAGAATAACTTGCATGTGTATGTTTTTATTTTAATTCTTACTCAAACTTACACCTAAAGGAACAAAACTTGTATCTCTGGATAAATGGTTAGTAAAAGCTGTATTCTTTTTATTCTTGTATTTAAGGTACAAACTTAGTGGGATGCACAGTAGCAGTCCCAAAATCATACCTAGAAGCTGTGCTTTTTACGCTCAGCAGTAACCCATTCTCAAGAATGCAACCTACCGGGAATAGAAAAACTAAAGGTCTATTGGGTTTTTTATTCTGTGTCAGCAACTTAATTACTTATTTGTATTTTAAATAAGGTTTCTTTTTAAAGGCCCCTGTGTGTATAAACTCTGGAATAGAATTTCAAAAACATGGTGAAAATAAAATATTTTGTTGTTAAATGACAAGTACAAATGCTTCTACACAAATATATTTGGTTGCTTGTATTCCACAAGCAATTTGTAATGTGTTGTAAGAAATGTCAACATTTGGCCACCATTAGGTAAGATGCAAAGACAGTACATTGTTTGATCCATTCATCTGTGTAGGTGTGATTTCAGAAAAATTCTTAGTACCTTAATACATGGTCATGAAAGAGATGGTAAATTTTGTACATCTAAGGGCTCCTCAATAAAGAGGTAAGAGTTCACAGGTATGAAAATCAAACAACCATCTCATTAAGAAAACCTAAGGAACAAAGCCATGAAAAATGGGGAATGTTTAGCTTAAAGCACCCATTATATTCCTGAGCCAATCTTCTATACCCATTTTTAAAATTTATGTTTTAACATTATTTCCTCTAAGTAAACATAATTTTTAACAAATCCCAGCATTTTCGATGAGTTGTAAAGATGATTCCGCTAAACACTTGTAAATTGGTAAATCTACCTGCAGAAATGTTTCCTGTCCTTACATGCATATATTACATACCCCATGGTCATGAATTAGGAATAAATAGCTTACTTTTTGGAAATATGTGACCTATGAGAAGGTGAAGGCTCCCTTTTGTGCACTAATAAAACTGAGTAGTGGTTGCCTGTTCTGGAAAGGATGACAGCCCCTCTATGGAAATGACTAAATCATTCTTTGCTCCTAGGAAAGCAATACTGTGCAATCATTTGTTAACTGGACATAGTTATTATTCCTTCTGGTTTCTGAAAGTTTACTATTTTCAATTTTGGTAGAGAGCTAAGATATTGGTATATTATTGCATTTTTTGTTGTTCAAATAATTTTTAATTTCTAGTATTCCCTTTGAAGAAATCTAAATGGTAACATCTCAGACTCCCTGTGTCTGTCGTTTGCTCAAATAGACTTACTCTGCATGCAAAGCCCATCAGTGCAGTTCTTGGATTGCAAGACCAGACCATCGCAGTCCTTGCCTCCGTTCTTGGGGGCTGGCGCTGTGCACTCCCTCCTGCGCCAGTGTGTGCACTCCGTCCCACAAGTAGACCACTTGCTCCAGGAGGTCCACCTGCCATCCACTACCACAGAGAAAAACCCAGCATCAGGTCAAAGGGAGAAGGCGCCTCTTGAGAGCAGAGGGTAACAGAGCTCATGTATAAAAACTAAACAAAACAAACTGGAGAAAATTCCCCACTAAGGACCACACTCATTTCGACTACTAGAAGTAGAGCGTGCTCTGCATACATCCGCGAGGCTCCGTGAACTCTCCGCACGAACTGTGAGACTCTCCTCACTGACAAAGCAAGGGAAGATTAATGGGACACACAGAAACCGAAGTTGTCACTAAGCTACATAAAAATAAATCATGGTGCTGCCCTTTTCCTATTAAATAGGAAACTTCTAGATTTTGTATTGAAAATTGGGGGATTCTTCTTAGATCCAAGATTTCTTCATGCATCATGTCATGTGGGTGGTGCAAGTAAACCTATGTGGGGATAAGGAGAAGAGGTTGGTAGAGTGGGGAAGAAATCTACCTATCTATCTATCATCTATCTATCTATCTATCTATCTATCTATCCATCTATCTATCATCTATCATCTGTCTATCATCTGCCTGTGTCCTATATATGTATTTGATTTTATATTTTCATCTAGGCTAGTTGATTCTAATGAGATTTTCTTTAATGGTTTCTTGAAAAAACTATATTATTTTCCATTTATTATTTGATGATTCCATTCCACTATTTTATGATGTACAAATTTCTATTTTTATTTTAAAAATACATTGAGTCACATTCCCATTCCCAATATCTTGTTGTGATTCAATCACAGAATTGACTCACTGTCTTCCTAATTTGGGTGGTTGGCTTGTTAGTAATTTCAATAATTGAGCTGTGATGTTTCTGTTACAAAAAAATGACTTCAATCCTAATCTGAAAAAAATACATAGTAAATTTCACTAAGGTCATATTTTAAAATGCAGTCTTTAAAGGTTCTTACATTATAGGATAAAAATATTGATCAGAGTTAAGTTTTTTAAAATTTTCCCTGAAATACATAAATAATTATGATTAACTAGAATTCAATGTAAAACAATGTTAAATATAATTTATTGAACATCTAATATACATAGCATCTTATACTTGCATATTGATAGAAATTATATCAATTTTAATAGCCTACTGTATGATTTCATTTCAAATTATTGTGTAAATATATTTTGCATATTACATATAGAGATATAAACATGCCCACATGAAAAAAGTGTTGAAAGCATTAATATTTCAATCATACAGAGCGGCTGTGTAAGCAGCTCCTAGCTATCTGGGGAAAAGGCATTTGCATTGACTTAGACCATCCCAAAGTACACACACACACACACACACACACACACACACACACACACACACACTTCTGTTTTAACTCAAAATGCTGAGTGCATTTTTAATTGTGGGAGTCAGCATCTAGATAAAATATAGGAGCGTACAAGATAAAATACCGAAATTCTAAGCTTAGCCAAGTGGCAAAATTTGTTCCATAACTAAAAGCTCTTAAAAGGTTCAGTGTGGGATACTGTTTTGAAATTTGGAAATCAACACAGGAATATATCATATAGATTATGTTTTTCTCTTCAGTTCACTTCTTCAATCCATCTCTGAGAAAGGTTTTATTAAAGAATAAACCAGGCAAACATTAGACAAAATAAAGGGAAGTAAGAAGACTATGAATCTTAATAATGAAATTGACAATATAACAGATAACTCAATGGAGTGCACTAAATTTATGGATTATTTCCAAATAATTTTAGCTTAAGTTTTCAATTTATTGTATAATTATGCATTTTGGTGGGTTTTGGTTTCGGTTTTAACTTTTTTTTTTTTTTTTTTAGCTGAGCTATCCTGCCACCTGTTGGCAGCTCAGTAGCAGCTCAGCTCGGGCCGGGCATTGAACCACTGTTGCTCAGAGCTCAAACTCTTAAGCAAGCTCTTAACCAATGGAGCCACTCGGCTGGCCCTTGATTTTGGTTTTATCTGATATTAATTTCAAATAAGACCTGGTGACAATATGAAATAGCATAGAAAAATGCTCAGAGGCAGAGGGATACAATCTTGGCATAGGTACCATTGCAAATAACTCACAAAACAGGTGACCAACATGAGCAGATAATAAGGAGCTGACTGCATTGTATTTTCAAAATCCATTAGCTCATGTGTCACAAAGCATAGACTTCCTTTTAATTGATTCCAAATGTTTTATTTGTCCTTGCCCAGAAACTGACATCAAATATCAAATGTTTCAGTCTAAAACATTTTTAAAATTTCAGTTCCAATTAATTTCTATGGCTTTCTGGAGATCAAGGGTTGTTATTCCTAAAATGTGTGGCTTTCAATGCTGCTCAAATCCCTTGAATTATAGAACCTGCAATCTGGCTCCAGCAGTTTTGTTTGGTAATAGAGAAGGATTATGTTTATAAGTGTTTAATGTCTTGTTTTGTACTATTTTGCATGTTTAGGTAATAAAGGTAAGTACTCTTTTGGCAAAAAATACTTCATTTCCAAGCAATATAAGCATCAAATGACATGATGGATTTCAATAATGTTTACCACACATTTAGGTCAAGAATAAGGCTTTGTATATATCCCTTAAAACATATTTCTAGAATGGTAGGAGACATTTGGAATGAGAGCACTGGTTTATTTACCTGGGCATAATGTGGTACAGGCTATTTTCTGCACGCTCTGCCCTTCACAGAAGGCACCACCATTAAGTGGCGCTGGGTTGGTGCAGGTCCTCGTGCGTTTCTGATACCCTCGTCCACAGCGGCTATTGCACACAGACCACTCTGTCCAAGTGGACCAGCCACCATTTACTAGACGGAGGTAAATAATAAAACGTGCATTAAACAGATGTACATGTACACACAGACACACAAACCACACATAGCACATAAACAAAAAGTTATCTCCCGCGTGACCATAAAACATCTAACATTTCAAAGCCACGAGAGACAATGGACATCATTTCATTCAAAGTTTCATTGCAGAGCTGAAGAATCTAAGCACAGAGATAAATAAAATGAATTACCAGTATTTACTCATCTACTTAAAAAAGTAAGTAGGACTGTGTTCTCTTTTTCTTGGCCAGTGTTCTTAAAAAAAAAATCCCCTTACCTAATCAAGCTCCAAATATTACAATTGACAGCTTATCTCAAATAATAAATGTTTACATCTTTATGCCGAGGCTGTAAGTGGATCAGAAACATGGGAACTGAATAAAATCATTCCGCCTTTTCTCAACAGATGATTGATTATTTTTCTTCAGTATATGTAAACTTTACAACCTGTCAAGGATTTTTAGCCAGTTTTATTAACTAACCATTGAAACTGGTGAAGAAATAAAGTCTTACATTGCTAGATTTTAAACTAATTGAATAGCTATTTGATTGAATTGGCAATTAGTTGATGTAATTGAAATGGACATGTATTTTGTGTATAAAGGCTAATTATGGTGTTTTATGGAGATGTCAATATAGGTGAGATTATAAAACCCACACTCTAACACTGTTCATTATTTACCTCTGGAAATCTCACTCAAGAAAACACTGATGTATTCTAGTATTTCAATAATGTGAGTCTATAAAATTATTGTACTTAAGCAATTTCTAGCAAAAATTATTTGCTTGTAGTTAAGACATGACAAAACTAACATATGCATATGCCTCCTGGTAGTAAAAAAGAGTCTTAGCCATTCAAGGAACCCAAACCTTATATGTGCACATATCATATGCCCAACATCACCTTTTCTAGAAACCCATGTAATAGGAAATAATCATGAATGTGTTATGTACACAGACTCAGACAAGAGTACTTTTCACAGCAATTATTCTTTTATACAGAGATAAATAATTGAAAACAACTATAATGTCCAACAATAGGAAAACAATAAACCACGTATGTTCATGTGATTTACTCCTAGGTAGCCATTAAAAATGATGCTGTAGAATCATATTTAATAATAGATGAACATCTCAACATTATGTTTTAAGTAAAAACATATATTTATATCCCATATTTTAAAGTCCTATCTATGTATAGAAAATATCAGTAGTATATTTCTAAAGCTATTTCTGGATGACAAAATGACAAGATTATAGGTATTTTCTTCTTTAACCATTTCTGTGCTTTCCAAATTTTCTGTAATGGATATATATTTGCAATCTAAAAACAGCACTAACTAAAATAAAATAAATAGATACAACTGACTCGAAACTGAAAAACTGGTTAGATGTATCTTTTTCTGTGGGCTTCTGGTGAGCCCAACCTGTGAGCCTTGGACAACTCATTTTCTGAGGCTGTGAAAAGAACAAGGAGACAGTCGATAGGTAGTGTCTCAGTTAGTGTTCCAAAAGGCAACTTAACCTGCTCCACTAGACAAAACTCCAAATGTTGTGGAATTGTCAGTATAAATTGCTGACTAGCACACTGGCAAACTGATATTTGGGGTTATAGTATACATGTGTTGCTTTGCTAGGATTTTAATGAGAAATGAATAATCATAAACTTTTAGAGAAAAAAAAGTCTTTGAAGACCCTAGGCTTATTTCCTCATTTTATGAAGAAGGTGACAAGGGCTCCAAGCATCCTGGTTAAGTGACCAACTGAGCGTCATTTAGTGGCAGAATGAGTCATAGAACACAAGACTCTGACCCCTAGTCCCATGACATTTTCTGAACTCAAAATGCTTGTTACTTATGTTTGATTCTACCTGAAGACAATGTTTGGTTTGTAATTAGTGACTACTTGTGGCTATTGATTGTAATTATTGGATATGGAAACTATGGTCTATATAGGAAAAGAGATTTACATGTGTATTAAACATCTGTATAACACATCTATACAGAGCCTGCCTTCATTAGTTATTTATAATTGGTATGTGCTGTAATGTGCCCCATTTCTCTTTTGCATTTTCAAAGCCGTTAACTCATTCAGTTTAGAAAGACAAAAAGTAGGAAATATATCATTGTAACTAAAGAAAGGCAATTGCTTATAATTCAACATAGCCATTATCTTGACTAGGAAACTAAACCTCAGAGTATTTAGAGGATTAAAACAAAATAGTTTGCATCTCTGTGATGGAAATGCGTTTTAAAGCTGTCTAAATTCAGCCTTTGGGGCATCAGAGTGGCTTCTATTCTCAACTACCACATGAGGACACATCCATCAGTATGGTACTTTCTGCTTTAAGTACCAGGAGGCAGATACTTGATAGTAACGATCACTCCTTCACTCATCAAGACATTAAGGCCCCTAGAGTTTATTTAACACTGAAGCAGCCATGAAAATCTTCCTTGCATTCTAAGTAACAGTCATATCATTCAGGAGGGGCATAACCTCAAAATCCTTCCCAGGGTTGTTCAGTTTCCTCAGAGACAATAACTCATCAAGAACATGAAGACTTCCTATGTGTTTAAACTGTGAGAAATACATAAATATACAGAGTTGTCTTTTAGTCCATAAAGGAGCTCAAAGATTAGCTGGGGAGATAGAAGTACTCATGGAATGACGAGGAATCCACAGAGTTCTGAACCATCCAGGGAGATAAAGCATCATGTGCCACAGCAAAACTGGGTGGGAAGTTGTTTACTCCTTCTGGAGAAATTATAGGCTTAGAGATGAGACAGATTCAAAAGGGCCAGAGGGTGGGAAAGAAGGTTCCTGAAGTCATGATGTTGAACCTTGCCACATGGTGGGATTAGGGCTACTTGGTGATGGCTGTGCTTGTCTTCACACTGAATGCCCCGATGGAGTGTGTCAGGGAAGTTCCAGGAAGTTCAAGTTGCCCTGCCGTGTTTGGGGAACATGTCAGCTCCAGGTTTCCTGATGTTTTGCAATCATTGGACTGAGCCAAGACCCACAGAAGGAGCAGCAGGCTGCTTTAAGCATCTTCTCGGAACTCACCCTAGATCTCAGTGGTCCAGGGTATGGAGAGGCGAAGACCTTGGGAAGCAGGGACATCTACTGGCACTTTTTTTTTACTTTCCTATAAACTGACTGACCAAGGGCTATTTGTCAATTTCCAAAGCTAGTCTTTCTATTCTATGAATATCAGGGAAGCAGTTACATTTCTCACTGTCCACGTGAGAGGCTGGAAGAGGGCAGCAACGGGGATTGAAAACGGGCCTCTTGTTTGATATTTTAAAATTAAACAAAAGAAGCTACAGTTTGACATGAACTAGAGTGCAACCCCAAAAGCTCACTCACCGTAGACGATGACAGTTGCCGTTGTGCTTTTCCTCTTGGCAACAATGTTTTTGGCGACACAAGTATAGTTTGCGGTATCTGAGAGGCGGGCCTGCTTTATGATGAGGTTGTGATCAATAGTAATATAAAAATTCCGATCTTCAACGGGATCAATTATGTCTTCATTTTTCAACCATTCCACCTAAAGATGAACAAGAGAAATAGATAATTCCCCCGTATGGGTCCCTTGATGGCTGTCAGTCTAATGTGGGTTTTGCAATATGTCTTGTATTGCTCCATGCTATGAACTTCTGCAAACTGGGAGGAAGTAACTTTCTGAGGTCATGTGAAGTATCACTCACCTGCCAAACACGCTGATTCTATGTGTACTATGCTATTCTCAAATGTCAATGAACCCACTGGGAAATACAGTGTTCAAATTGTTTCCACTTTGCCCTGCAGGCAGGAACAGGGAACTGGCGCTGCCAATTTCAGAACCTAATCAAAAATAATAGGCTACGCATTTCAAACTGAACTCAAACCTTTTGTTATTTGATTTGTTTACTCTTGGCAACTTACCTGCTGCTTTTCAGTAAAGAGTATAAGAACAATTTAAAAAGCTCAAAAGGCATCTTAGATATCATGAAGCTCTAATAAAACAACATTTGGATGATTTACGTGTAGCCTTGCTGGAACATATGGATTAAATTTCCCTGAAAATGAACTTACTTTTAAATGTAGTAAACACATATTAGGAGATGCATCTAAGCCAAAATACTTGGGGGAAAACAGATTTCCTACCAACTCTCAGTATAATCCCAATAACATATAATTCATGCTTAAATCTCTCCTTTGTATGTCACTCGCATCAAATCTTTGGCTCATGGTTTGTTTCTGGAGAACCTGACCTCAGCCATGACTGTCCAAAACTATTAAGTTACTTTTTTTTCTATGCAAATAATGTCAATTTAGCAATAGCAATGTTATTCCTGCAGAATGCAAGGAGGAAAGATATATTTATATAAGCTGTTCTTATGAAGGATAAACTATTTCCTGTCCTGTAGCTCTTCTTTTTCTTTTTCCTGTGCACAGGGTTTTCCATAAAGCAAAATGACATGGATATTTCTCACACTTAAACTTTCCTTTTGCATTAGTGTGGATGTGGATACAGGTAACCTTTAGTGGTAGGGAGTCAATAGTGTTGCCATTTTCGAAATCTTAAGGAGCTTCTCTGGCACCACAAGAAGTCTAGAAATTAATCTCTAAATCTGTCAGTGGGCTTGACGTTGCACAGTTCTAAATTAAATCTAATGCAGCGACTCTATAATCATGCTTCTCTAATCCATAGAAGAGAGGCCACCATTTATAGAGAAAAGCAGAAACCAACAACAATCCTGAAGTAAATGTATGAGGGAGTAGATAAAAGCAACTATTTGTAATAATGTAAATTTTGAAATAGATAACCATTCTTGGTATTTACACTAATGGAAGTGAGAAAGAGAATAGAATCTACCTAAAACAGTGGAGTTTTAAAGCACATATTTTGTTTTCAATACAGACAGCACATTCAGTCAGGGCCTTGCTTGGATATATTTGATAAGGTACTGATACTCACTTGACCTGGTATAGTAATGTGATCCTGCTAGAAGTGCAGGGGGAAGGTAGCAAAATTCATACTGTCAGAAATCTACTTGACAGTCATTGAAAGCTGACATTAATATTTTTTTAATCTTATGAGAAGTGTAAATGTCTAACTATTATGTTGCTTTGTACACATGAAACTAACTTAAAAAAGGAAAAATAAACCTATGTAAAGAACAAATTAATAAAACATGAATTAATGAAGCACGTTAAAAAATATATATTTTTTGAATCTAATCTTTACCTAGGTTATCTGTACCATTCTAAAGAAAGCTTTCCAGTTATAGAAGGCACTGTTGGGTTCCCCTGAGCTGAAATTGGATCTCTTCCACTTGTGCACGTGTGTGTGTGTGTGTCTGTGTGTGTGTGTCTGTGTATGTGTGTCTGTGTGTGTGTGTGTGTGTGTGTGTGTGTGTGTGTGTCTGTTTGTGCTGTGTGTGCTTTTCTTTCCAGGACCCATACTGCTAGTCTTCTTTGAAGGATAGCACTCAGGCTCCTGGACTCTTTTCCTGGAAGTGCCTAGCAGTCCACTCCCCTACCTTTCCCCTTCACATTGGCTCACAGGGCGTGGAAATAAACCTTGTGGCCAATGGTGGGGAGTAGGGGCCAGAACCTGACTTGTTACTCTCCAGAGCTCTCCTGCGGGAATGAGGCTGAAGCTACCTCCTTGAGATTTCACCTGAATTTATACTCTTTCTGGGTTTCTACTTTTCTTTCCTGCTGGCTCCATCCACTTCTGAGGCTCTCTTAGGAGCATATCCATAAAAAGCACTTCTATTCAAATCTTTTCCTCATGGTTTGCTTCTGGAGAACATGCCCTAAGTCATGACTGTTCAAACCTAGAGTTGTTTCTATTTATGTAATATCAGTTCACAACAGTATTGTTATCCTGATAATAAATGACATAAAGAGATCTCAAGAGATATTGCAAACCACTTGTTTATTTGAAGAGTTTGTTACATGTTAAAAAGAGAAGAATTGGAAGAGTTGACAAGAGATTTAAGAAGACTTAATGATTATTGGTTGTATGGTTTTTACTTTCTTATCTTATACATGACTTTGTACTTTCCTTGGGCATCTCTTATCAACCCTGAAGTTTCAAGGACCCCTGAGGAGCCTCAGAACCACTGGGGAGGCCCCTGGGGCTCTGCAAGGGACTCTGGCCTCTTGTCTGAACACTGGCTTGAATCAGAGAGTCTCTTCCTTGACCTGTTTTCCATATGGGGTTCACTTGTATGCCTTTGTTTGAAGAAAACAAGGGTTCTACTGCTATAAAAATAGCTATAGAAATGGGTAAGGGAGCCAAGGACTTCTCTGGCTTCCAGCAAGAGCCCCCCCACCAGTTCCCTATACCCCAATACTCCCAGTTGTGCCACAATGCTCTGCTTTGAGACCGTCATCTCCATAAGAGGCTCAGGTCCACAAGGCAGGTCATCACTCTCTCCTGTTCTGGGATCCTCGTCCTGCTTGATGCATCTCCATCACCCGCCCTCTAAAAGTCTCAAATTCTGTACTGCCTTGGAATACAGCAATAAATTCCTCCAAAATTTCAATCTGTTTTAAGATTGTTTTCTTTATTTTTCTCTGACTAAAACCTAGCTCTTCATGGTACTACTGCTTTCTTTGGAATCCTCTCACATGATAGATATTTGACACCCCAAATTTAACAAATCTAACAAAATAACATGGGGGTCCAGTAAGTGTCCATGTTCTGCATTGTCTATTCCAGACCTCTCTCTCCAAACAAATTTGCTTTCAATCTCATGCCATCAGATTATGTCACCCAACTGCTATATTTTTTTGTAGTCATCAACAGATCTCTGGACTCACAGTCATTTTATCCAGAACAATTTCTGTCATAATTTCTGGTGTTTTAATAACCAAAAGATTACACTTTCAACATCTTGGCCCCTCAGTTCCATCACCTTCCTTCCTGAAATGAATGATCTTGGCCTCTGAGTCACACATTCTCATAGTTACATATTCTAGGCCAGAGGCTTTCAATCCTGGCTTCACTGCAGAATAACTTGGAAAACATTTATATCAATTTTAAATCCAACCCAGAGAAACTCTGATTCACTGGTTAAGACTGGCCTCGCATCAGCATTTTTTAAACTCCACAAGGGGTAGTGGTTTGCTCCTGGGATCGAGACATTCCACTCTAGACCATTGCCTTTCAAATGAGATCCTTGGACCAATATCCTCTATGTCACCTAGGAGCTTCATAGAAATGCAAAATCTCAGGCTCTGCCCACCTAGACTTACTGAATCAAAAATGTAAATCATAACCAGAACTTCAGGGGATTCCCATACACATTACAGTTTGAGCAGCACTGGCCTAGCTCTTGTCTTTAACCAATAATTGCAACCCCTCCATTAACTCAGCTTCAATCATCCTCTCTTTTCACCATTTTCTGTCTTTCCTGGTCATTCTCTCTAAGACCCCTATTTCAACAAACCTGCACCAGGACCTACAGTCTATTGAGCTTACCAACTTTATCGTCATCCCTCTTGTGTCCCCTCTCCCTTTTGACCAAATATAAATTCCAATGTCTGACTTTATCAACCACCCCTCGAATTACACCCTCAACCTTCTCATCTCTCTTTCACTTCAAGGTGCTCACTTGGTCATGTTTCCCCTACACTACTTTTGTATCCTTGCAGCGGACATGGCTCTGCACAGACATGATGAGTGGGCTCATCTTAAATTCATGATAACAGAACTCAAGTAGGCCCTTAATTCTGCCTGAAACTCATACTGTATTTTCATAGTCTGTTCACCGTCCCACACTTCTAGACAGCTATTTCACACCTTCTCCTCTCTCCTTAAACACTACCTCCCCCTCTATCCTCACTTTCAGCTGATGACCAAAATGTCTATGTCACTGAGGAAACTGAAAATCATAAGACAACTTCCAAATCTCCCACTCTCTGGTAGCCACTCCTGTTCTGCTTGCTGTCTCTTGCTATCAGGTCAGTTCTCTGTGCTCCTACCTGTCGCCTCTCATTTGTACTCTGCATCCCATTTCCTCTCTCTTATTCAAGGGTGTATCCCAGCAATTCTCTTCTTTCTCTCTTAAATCATTTATTTTCTCTCTCCACTGCATCATTTCCATCAGACATGCCGTTATTTTTCCCAACCTAAAACAAAATCCCTCCCCATTCATTTCTGCCTCTAGTCACCTCCACATTTCTCTGCTCACCTCACAAAACACCTTGGAATAGTTGTTTATATTCACTCTTTCTAATTCCTCTCTTTTTCATCTCTGCTGAATCTATTCCAATCTGCCTCCACCTCTACCATTGCACCAGACTGCTCTTCTCAAAGTCACAATCACTTGCACTGTGTTAGATATGCTGGTGAGGTCGCAGTGCTCTCCTTACTTGACTCAGCAGCACTGTTTGACCCAGTTCGTCCCTCCATCCTCCTTACTTGCTATCTCTGGACACAGCACTTTCCTGCTTTTTGTCCTACCTCACCTATTCCCCATGACTTCCATGAGCTGAGGTCTGTGTTAGCTCCATCCTTGGAACCCTTTTTTTTTCTATTTTCCATCCCTA